AATTTGCGAGTATTATCCTTGCCAGCCGGCTTGTCTTGTCATGCTCTTCGTACTCACTCGTTTCGGCCTCTCTCTTTTCTTTGTCTGCAAATGCGTCTTGTTTCTTTCTCCAATTCTCGGTATCTATCCCATTCCGTACATGTTGTATTTGTAGTCCAGTCATTATAGTAAGTTCACCTCGGAATTCGAGATACCCAGCTAGGGTGTATCTACCAWATGTAGGTTTTGAGACAACTTTTAGGGTGTCAATACACAATATTTACAGACTTACAGCTGGGTACTATAATGACTAGACTATTAAGCTTAAATGGCTGGACTATTGATTGTAACGTKGCGAGGTACGCGGTTTGTTTTCTTCTACTGGGACACGACACTCCTCATCGTATCAGCTGTTCCTTTGCCTTTTCCGAAAAGCATTGGTTTCGTTTGCAGCTCTACGTTAGAAGCTTGAACAGCCGTCCCCACATATCAAGTTGATGAGTGCTCTCAGATAGCACAAGTGCAAGTCGAGTAGAAAATAGTTCAGCTGTCTGTTATGATTGTTGCTTGTCGACGTCGAACCTTCCTTGTGTTTGGACTACGTGGGTTTTTTACTGCGCAGAGGCGGATGTGTATCTTAGCTGCCACAAGCTTATTACGTATCGATGCAAAAGTTCAAATAACCACTTTACACAGAACTCTCTCTCATACCCAAATATTCGTGAGTGATATGATGTACACGTTCAGTAGATACTTATCTTTAGAGTGTGAATGCTCGCTAGATCAGACAATTATCCGATACGAAAGATTAGGTTATGTAGTAAGTTCAATAAATCAATTTTTCCATTTACATTAACTAGTTAAGCCGACCAAAGCTTACAATTATTTTGAAGGTTTTGCAATTTGTCAACTATTTCTCCTTGCTCGTTAAGATAAAAAACGATTTATTTCAGATTTACTGAAAGACAAGGTTGACAAAAAAAAAAAAAAAAAAAAAATATCGTTTACTTCCAGCGCAATTTACAAAATATGAAAATTGGATTGTGGGTGCGTGTTCACCAGTTGGTCACACTGACATTTTTTTATTTACTTCTTGTTTTCTATTACGCATTTTTCTGCACGCATACAAACGTTTAAGAGAATATACTCGTACATTTTATTGTATGCTGGAGCGGACTTGACACAAGTCGCGGCCACGGGTTTAAGATACCCAAAATATGACGATCAAAATTTACCAAGCAAAGTCACATAGACTGGTCAAAATTAGTTTCTTGTTTTAGTTTACTTTTTTTTTTTCTTATTTTCAGTATTCTTTTTTTGGTTTGATTTGGGACAATAATTTTAATACAAATGTTCACTTTGATCGACGGATCTCTCATCATCTCCTTAATTTATGCAAAATATTATTATTTTTATAGTGAGTCGTAAAGGATATGTCTGTGCTGGTAAATCCAGTCGGTAAGCAAGACGTTTAAATTTCCACGATTAGACGTAAATAACACGATTCTCATATATGAGCTCAGCTAACCACGTTCGGGCTCTTGTTTCGCCGATAACGAAAAAAATTATTTTATTTTTCGAAATCTTTTGTAAGTTAGTGTCTACAGGTACTTTTTTTTTAATTTTTCTTTACCTTATTTCCACCGTTATTGAGAAACGAACATGTGAAGGTTAGGTTAGGTTAGATGGCTGATCGAATATCGCCCTAAACTTCGGTGTTCGAACTATAAATTAGCGAAGCGCTTAGTAGTTAATACAAATGTGTACAAGCGTTTATTTTCCATTCCCGCTAGCTCGGTGGGTTGTCTGAAAGTATGCGCTTCCAAGTGTTTAAGTCTTGACCTCTAAAACTTGGGGCAGTTAAGAAGGAAGTGTTGAGTTGCTTCTGCCTCATCGTCTTCGATACAGCTTCTGCAGTTGCGTCTGGTAGGATTCGCAGCCTTACTGCGTGGACGTTAATAGGACACAAACCTTTTAAAAACCCTTGCCCTTACTGAGGGCAAAGTAGTTGTTAAGAGTTAAATTTTATCAAAACTTGTCGAATACTTTTGGAGACCCATCTAACAAATTCAAATTTATAAAAATTACTTACATGTCTAAAATAATTTCGGAGTACATTTCTTTCAAATAGTAGTCAAATCTATATAATGGACGAGACTCGGCAGTCTCAACTGAAATATTTAAGGAATAATTTGTTTCAGTATTTGAACTCAGAGCCTTTCTAAAAGATTTTCAATAAAACATCTRGCTTAAGAAAGCCTTCGTATCTTATACTAGCGACTGTATATTGTCTTAAGCAACCCAGATTTCTTAAAAAAAATATTGTAAGTTCTCTTGTAGACATACGTGAACAACTTCAGGGTRATATTGGTACGGAATGGTATGCCTCATTAAACACCTTTGTTTCTACAAAGCACGACGGGTGCGCGTAATACACCCCTGTGCATATTTCGCGTGTAAATCGTGCTTGATCACAGCCCACACAGAATCACAACTGCGGATTTTTGGGCCAAATGAGTCAAGTTGAAGAGCGTCCAATCACCTAGCATTCGGGTCACGTTTTGTTAGCTTGCAAGCCAGCTGATTTGCGGTGTCGCCGCCATGCTAATTTGCTTAAATGACGAAATGAATTGGAAAAATATTGAATAAATATTAGCTATGTAAATGCGTTAATGCGAATGGCTACCACTCAACTCCCCAGTGTGACAAAGTGATTTGCTCGCTTTTGTTTCATGCCAAAGGTGATGTCTCACCGATTTGAAATGCGGCTCGATGCCTCAACGACAAGGTCGTTTGTGCTAAAAGCGTTTACTTGCCGTGGGTTTTTTTCACTAAGCGCTGTGGGGCAAAGACTTCAGCAATCCAAATCTAATCACTCATTGATTTATACGATTTTCGCTTTGTTCACAATTTGGATTTGTTTAAGTCCCAAATTCTAAATAAAAAAACTTTTGCTTGCATATATTTCGACGCACTACAACAAAATTTGCCATTTCATTGCAGATACTCCGTTGGTGAAGTCACAATGTCGCGTTTCAGTTTACAAATTCTAACATTGCTCGTGTGCTGTCTGGCGGGCGTCGTCGTCTWTGCACAACAACCCTGCCAAATTAGACCTGACGACAGCAATGTGCCRCGCACCGTACGTTCCGATCTGTATCGCGGCCAACAGAACTTCACTTTGTCTATGCTGCAAGCCATCAATAAGGCCACACCCAATGAGAATGTCTTCTTTTCACCGTACAGCACATATCATGCACTACTTTTGGCCTATTTCGGCTCACGCGGCCAAACCCAGGCSGAACTGACGAAGGCGCTATCGCTGGAGTGGGCAGAGAATAAGAATCACGTGCTTAGGGGTTACACTTTGGAGCGTAGCAGTCGTTTGTCCCGTTCGAAGAACACGCCACTGCAATTTTCCGCCGCCGATCGCATATTTTTCGATAAAGATGAAGTTCTAACAAAATGTGTGGAGGAGGTATTCCACCAGGAGTTGGCTCCGCTCGATTTCCAAACTAAGTCAGAGGAGTGTCGCGTTGAAATCAATAATTGGATTAGTAATGTAACAAGGAATGAAATATCCGACATGTTGAAGATGGGAGAGGTCGACGCACAAACAAAATTAGTGCTGGCAAATGYCGCCTACTTCAAGGGACAGTGGTCGAACAAATTCGATCCTAAAGATACCAAGAAAGACATCTTCTATACGTCAGAGAGTAAACAATCATTTGTCGATATGATGCACAAACGTGGCACCTACAATTTAGCTTTGGACGAAAACTTGGGCGCCTACGTGCTGGAAATGCCCTATGTCACTTCCAATGACAATGAGAAAGAATCGGATATCTCAATGGTCATTATTTTGCCACCMTTCCACAATTTGGATGGTGTTTTGGCTAAATTGACACCGGACACATTGGACGATGCGCTGAAAGAGGGTATGGCTCGCGAGGTTGATGTSTCACTGCCGAAATTCGCTTTTGAACAAAACTTRGAATTGGTACCGGTAAGTGGCATCYATAACTTTTTTTTAGTTTAAAYATTATTSAAAGTTTTGACAGTGATATTGCCTATGTGTGCTCCTAACATTTRCCTTAGACCATTGCTTTGAATAGGGCTAAAATGTTATCTGTGAAATATCGCTATTAAGATAGAAAGTTAAGWTAAGAGAGCCGAGTTTCAAGAACTGGGTACAAATGTTAATAGTTATATATGTACGCMATATCCACTGCCACTGGTTTGGTCTTCTGGCGACAACACAAAAAACACACCGACCTGCTAGAGCATCGTTCTCASGACAGTCGAGGCTACGAAATTGGCCCGGWMCWGRATTTTTATCCGATCAAGAATTGTCAACTTGACAGTAAATTCATTTCGAAGGCATAACAGGTTTCTAYGAGCAGCTGTTCCATATCRAAACTGCACTCGAAGATTGGACATTACATAAATCGGCCGATACTGTTGAAATTCCAAGTTCGATATTCGTACGAAGTTCACTAAACTTGGTTTTCAATAAATCGTTTCTGACATTCGCTGTGTGAATTGTGGCGCCGTCCTGTTGGAACCACATATCATCCAATACGGGCCAAAAATATTCGGTTTTCTTTGAGCGGTATCGTTTCCCATCGAAAGTAACGTGCCGGTCTTGATCATCACGGACGTCGCCGGCCCATAAGCCGCACCAAACCGTAATTTTTGGAATGGTGACTTATGGAGAATACCACATACTTTGATTATTGACGAAGYCATTCAGTCAGAAATGAGCCTCATCGCTGAAGATGATTTTTCGATGAAAAGCCGAATCATTTACAAGTACTCAGCCCAATTYACGAACATACGACGTCACAGAGATGCCCAACGCTTGAGAACGACGTGTGAGAGACTGATTTGTGTTTTTTCCTCAATTGATGCGCAATATTCTTGACACTACGACACTCCAGGATAAAAGTGAAAAAAAAAAAAAAAAAAATATTACATCGTTTGTTGTCCTTACTTTTGTAGCGTCCCTATTGAAAACCCCGTTACATAGATATAAATGATCAGCATGCCGATTTAGCCATGTTCGTCTGTCCGTCTGAATACATATATTCTAACTAGTTCTTCAGTTTTTGAGATATCGATCACTAATATCGGACCGTACAAACTTAAAGTCCAAATTCAAGTCCTTATATGGAAAACTTTTTTAATAAACGAGATATATTCACCAAATTCGGCACGGATTATTATTCAAGACATCGTTATATTCTCCGAAGAAATTATGCAGATCGAGTCACTATAGCATATAGCTGTCATATAAACTGACCGATCCAAATCAAGTGCTTGTGAGAAATATTTTCATATTGTAAATGATTTTGTAGCTTCGGTGCAACCGAATTAAACGCTTTACTGCTCAAGCTTGCGATTTAACAATTCCTTTCTCTCTCTCCACAGGTACTGCGCGACATTGGCATTAATTCGCTCTTCGCAGAGGACTGTGATCTTAGCGAATTTTTCGCCAACAATTTGCGTATCGGCGATGCCAAGCATGTGGCTAAGATAAATGTTGACGAGGAAGGTAGCACTGCCTCGGCGGCTACGGTGCTCTTCAGCTTCCGCTCGGCACGTCCGCTTGAGCCAACCAAATTCGAATGCAATCATCCATTCCTCTTTCTCATTTACGATTACACTGCCAAGGCGATATTATTTACCGGCATCTATCGCGATCCSATGACACACAAGTGAAGAAATGTGCACGAATTTCGATGTACGAAATAATAC